GAGATGGGGGTCTGGCTCCAATGTTGCTTAGGCTGGAGTGCAGTGTCATGACCTTGTCTCACTACAACCTCCACCTCCTAGGTTCAAGTGATCCTCCCTGCTCACACTCCCAAGTAATTGGGATTACAGGCACCCGCCACCATGCCTGGCTAAGTTTTGTATTTTTAGTAGAGATGAGGTTTCACCATGTTGACCAGGCTGGTCTCGAACTCCTGACCTCAAGTGATCCTCCTGCCTTGGCCTTCCAAAGTGCTGGGATTACAGGCGTGAGCCATTGCACCTGGCCTGACTTACTTTATTTCCTGCTGACTGTAGCCCAGACTGGCCAGGCTTGGGGATATTGTTTTGTTAATTTTATGGTTTTTTTTTTTTAATTTAATTAATTTATTTTTGGAGGCAGAGTCTTATTCTGTCACCCAGGCTAGAGTGCATCGGCACGATCTTGGCTCATTGCAACCTCTGCCTCCTGGGTTCAAGCGATTCTCCTGCCTCAGCCTCCTGAGTACCCAGGATTACAAGTGAGCACCACCACATCTGGCTAATTTTTTACGTTTTCGGTAGAGACAGGTCAGACTCCTGACCTCAAGTGATCCGCCCGCCTCAGCCTCTCAGAAGTGCTGGGATTACAGGTGTAAGCCACGATGCCCAGCCTGTTTTGTAAATTTTAAATAAAGGAAAACTGGGTCTGCTAGCAACTGTAGTTTTCAGCATGCCTGGGTTTACTAATTAAAGCCAAACCTGCTTTGTGGGTTGTGAAGTTTGATGGTATTTAAAAAAAAAAAAAAAAAATTCTTTTTTTTTTTTCCGAGATGGAGTCTTACTTTATCACCTAGGCTGGAATGCAGTGGCGCAGTCTTGGCTCATGGCAACCTCTGCCTCCCAGGTTCAAGCAGTTCTACTGCCTCAGCCTCCTGAGTAGCTAGAATTACAGGTGTGCGTGCCACCACACCTGGCTAATTTTTGTATTTTTAGTAGAGATGGGGGTTTCACCATGTTGGCCAGGCTGGTTTCGAACTCCTGACCTCATAATCCACGCCTCGGCCTCCCAAAGTGCTGTGATTACAGGCGTGAGCCACCATGCCTGGGCCCCAATATTCTAATCTAGGACTTGTCTGAAATAAACCTATGACCATCCTGTTTGGATGTCATGGGAACAGACATGAGTTTGAATCCCAGCTGTTTCTCACTCGCTGTGTGACCCTGGGCCAGTTGCTTTGCTGCTTTTTTTTTTTTTTTTTTTTTTTTTGAGATGCAGTTCTGCTTTTTCTCCCCGGCTGGAGTGCAATGGCGAGATCTCGGCTCACTGCAACCTCCATCTCCCGGGTTCAAGCAGTTCTCCTGCGTCAGCCTCCCAAGTAGCTGGGATTACAGGTGTGCACCACCATGCCCTGCTAAGTTTTTTATTTTTTGTAGAGACGGGGTTTCACTATATTGCCCAGGTTGGTCTCTAACTCCTGGCCTGCAGTGATCTACCTGCCTCAGCCTCCCACAGTGCTGGCATTACAGGCATGAGCCACTGCGCCAGCCCCTGTTTTTAAAAATGAATAAATAGGCCGGGCGCGGTGGCTCAAGTCTGTAATCCCAGCACTTTGGGAGGCCGAGACAGGCGGATCATGAGGTCAGGAGATCAAGACTATCCTGGCTAATACGGTGAAACCCCGTCTCTACTAAAAAATACAAAAAAGCTAGCCAGGCGAGGTGGCGGGCGCCTGTAGTCCCAGCTACTCGGGAGGCTGAGGCAGGAGAATGGCGTAAACCC